GCTCTGCAGAGACAGCGTAGGGTTGGTCTGCTGCGCCGGCTGCCACAGACGGGCACATTCAAAACGGGAGTCATCATCATCATCATTATCATCATCATCATCAGCATCATCATCACATGACACAAACAGAAGACAAACCCCAAATGTCTATGAACCAGGACAGACAGCTTCTCTTTATTCCACCAGCTGAAAACCGCAGCTTCTGGAGGACTGTTGGATCCATGAAGGACCCTGAAAGCCTCCAGAGAGCTCAGATCAAGGCTGCTTGCTCTGGTTTTCACCAGAAGAAGCAGCAGGAGACAAAGCTGGCTGGACTCAGTATGAGCTGACAGACTTTAAAGCTTCAGCCTCTTTGGAGGGACAGAAAACAGCCCAGACCAGCATGCCTCCCTATCCCGACTGAAAAAACGTATAGGATCTCTGAACACAGCAAGAAATGCTGGTTTTACAGAAAACTGCTCTCTACTTTTTGGGAGAGTTTTTCCTCAAATGTACTTTGATTTGGTTTCTATCAGCTTTGGCAACAGGACAGCAAAGGTAAGGCAAGATTTCTGAGAGGAATACAATTGTAAAAAAAATACAACTACCTTTTTATAAGACATCAGCACGTCGTTACTTGGAGTTTTCTTTTTGTTTTTTTCTATTTTATTTTTTAAATTGATTTTATTTGATTGTTATTCATGTGTATTTCTTTTGTAATGTAACTTTTGGTGTAAAGTGCTTTGGTCAGCTTGGTTTGTTGTTGTTAAGCACTTTATGAATACATTTATGAATAAACAAAGTTATTTTTGCCCGACACAAGATCAGAGGGGTTTAAGCGAACGGGGTCAGACACTCAAACATGAAGGAGATTTAAAAGGAAAGGTACCATAAAGGGCTCAGAGCTCACCCTGCCGCCATACTGCAGCATGGGGGCCGGCAGCACGCGGCCCGTCACCTCGGCCATCGTGTCGCGCACGCCGAACTGGAACTCCCTCACAAACGGGTCCGACTCGTAGTTGGCGCTCCTCACCTGGAACGGACACAGGGTTTGAGTCCAGGGAGGGAGGGATGGAGGGAAGGGGGTGGGGCTTCCCAGAGGGCGCTCACCAGCCGACTGATCTCCTCCTGCCTGTCGGGGGCAGAGCGGGCGGTGGCTTTGATCATGATGGACGTCTGGTTGTCCGTCAGCTTCTTGATGCAGCGCTGACCCGCAACTATGTTGCACACCTGTGTGAGAAGAACCCCCCAAAATAGGTTAAACCCCATGAAGACGATGAGCAGAGCTGGTTTGTTTCAGGAGAACTCCAACAGCGCCGACATGACGGCCAGGTGACAAACATACGACGGCCTCCATTAAAACATCCACCTGAACTCACTAATTCACTACTACCCTAACCCAAACCGTGACCATGATACTACTCCATCCATAATATTAGCCTAACCATAACTCTAACCCTTACCATGATCCTACCCTAACCATAACTTTACCCCCAACCATGATACTTCCCCAACCATGATATACCTTAACCATAATTCTAACTCCAACCATGATACTACGCTAACCCTAACCCAAACCCTGACCATGATACCACCCCAGCTATGGTACTACCCTTATCATAACCCTCACCCTGACCCTGCTGCACTCAGCGTGCACCTGCCTGTCGCCCTGTGGCCGGCGCTCACCTCCAGGGGCAGGTAGGTGTGCTTCTGCTCCTGCCCCACCTGCAGGCAGGGCAGGTGGGGGTACTTTAGCTGCAGGCTGTACTTCTCCCTAAAGTACTGCGCCACCGTGCGCTCCACCGTCTGGCCGCTTTCCAGCTGCAGTGGGAACCTGTAGACCGACAGTCAGAGTTACTGCGGCGCCGCCATGGCGACGGCAGGCGGCGTGCGGCGGGCCGACGTACGTCTGCAGGCTGGAGGGGCGGCGGGTCACATTGCAAACTCTGTACTTCCTGCGCATGCTGCCACAGTGGGTCACCTCCACCTTCAGGCCTGCGGAGACACGGCGTGAGCGACCAAACCTGCTGCGGCCAAAGCTTTGACCACTCTGGTGAATTTGGCCAAACCTTTGATTTCCTTGGTGAACTTGACCCGGTGGGAGTCGGTGAGAGGCCGCGGCTGCTCGTCGATGTTGTGGATGTCCAGCACCTCACACATGAACAGGATGACAGGCTGGGCTTTGTAGAAGGCCGTGGCCGACACTGAAACGACAGCAGAGCGGGTCTGAGAACCGGGTCAGGAAACCACTTCGAATTATTGATCCCACAGTGGGGAAATCCACATGTTACAGCAGCAGCAGCACAAAACATATAAGAACAGAAAGAGAAAAGCACAATAAACGAAGCAGAGGCCAAAACAAAAGTAGCTACAGTGGGTGTTTTTCTGTCTATGATCTATAAATAGTACAACAAAAAGAGTAAATGTAAATGTAAAGATCCTGACGTGTTCGGCTTTGACAGGACAAAACATCTGGATTTAACCGACTTGAACCCTTTTTAACTCCCCCCAGCTGTCACTCACCATCGATGTTGAGCATCATCTTCCACATGGCCGGCCGCACTGACTGGTGGAAGCCAAACCAGACCTCCCTGCCCCCCCCC